TTTACAGGGGATTGGGTTTTGATTGATATAGTGACTTGCATTTTCAGTTAATTATCATAATGGATTCAAATTGCAGCCGGCTATTTGTTTTTGCTAGAAATTTTGAAGGAGAAAGCATTTGTACATCATAATTTCAATTTTATGTGATTAATTCACGAATGCGTTTGGACGGATATATATCCATAAAAAAACCTAAACCTATCATTCAAGCACAATCCATTTGTATTTTTCGTTCATTTACATTTCTAGCTTTGAACGCTATTTGATCCCATAAAATCATAAACAATGTCGTAAAAAATTAACGAAATGATTTTCTCATTTTTTGACTACATCTGGGAGGCTTGGTTTTTTTTTTAACAATCTCTTTTCTGGGTGTATAAAAAATAGATTGACCATTAATTTCAGTGGCCCTGATTAAATATAATATTAAAATTTATAAATTGGCTTTCCCATTACATTAATAACCAACAACATTGTTATATGACCCAGCGTTTGATAACTTTATGCCCCAGCTGCGACGTTGAGTGAGCCCCCAGACTAATCACTTTCGTATATACTCGACCATCATTATCTACTGTAAGCCATTGTTGCTTTTGTTTCGGGTGTGACTAACACTTTTGTTTTAGTTGTGTTTTCCTGCCGCTGGTGGCATTGTTATCGTCCCTGCTCTTTTGTCGTCATTAACGTCAGTGCGGCCTTGTTTAATTTGAACATTAATCATGGCCTGACTCTTGACGGGGGGCCAAAACTGTAGGGCCCGCAGGGAAAACGGTTGCAATATTGCAGCCCGGAAAAGTTGCACCTTTAATGAAGACAGGCAGGTTCTTCTATTATTAGTTTTCCGCACAGACTTGAGTTGCACATGCGCATAAAAATTTCCGGTAGCCAGAAGGAGAAAATTGCTGGGAATTTCTGCGGTGGCAGCTGCTGTCGGTCTGCAAGTGCCAGCATTCTGATGTGTTGGAAAACTTTGACTTTCTCTTTGTGCTTTTTCATTATGGTCAAGAATTCATATTTTCTTTATTATTTCCTTTTGGTCCTGGTACACACAGTACACAGGTGTATAAATAGCGCATTGCTATGTTTTTGTTTATTTCAATAACAAAAAGAAATGTTTACATTTTTAAAAACTATTGTTAAGAAACTAAAAAAGTAAAAACTAATTTGGTCTGTTAAAAAAAAATATATATTTTTAAATTTCTTTAGTAGGAAATGGCAGTTTTAATAGTAATTTATTTTATTCTATTATAATTAATTTGTAATATTTTAAGGTTTGAAAATATTTTTGCAGGAGAGCATTTAGAAATCTTGAAAAAGAATTTTTTCAACGTTTTTAAAGAAGTTTGTCAATTTAGCTTATTAATTTTATTTTTTATTTTACATTTTAATCCTTCATACTCTTTTGCTTTTACTACTACCTTTATTAACGATTCGATGACGCAAACTAACTTCAACAGTTAGCATCACTTTTCTCATTTTCCCCCCCTTCAGCTTCAATTTGTTCCCATATCCCTACGTTTCTAATCATCAACAACTGCTGGCTCACATTAATTGACAGTTTTGCCATCAGTTGGCCCAGATGGAACCCTGACTAAGTCCTCATTAACTCATCTATCATGATGATGTGGGTGTTTAGACGTGCCCCCCTTGCCTGGCTCCCATACTCATTAATTCCCTTTAAGTAGGCCATTGCAATCGGGGAAGGGAGAAACATCACAGTTGGATATGATATTCAATACCCGTCCCTTACCAACCATTGGCTGCATTTCAATTTCCCTTTTACCTCCAAAAAAAGAGTACTAATTGCAGCAGATCTCCCTAACACACGTCCTCCTTATCAGGTTCATTTTTTATAATTCTTGTTTTTTACTTTTTACAGGATAAGTTAAACGTGATCGTCCGCCCGATTTAACCCCTTCTCTGTTTAGGGGTCTTGTCCGTAATTAATTGCAAAAGTTTTCTTCGTGCTCTGTCGTCTGATGCAAAACAAAAAGTTCAAAGTTGATGGAGCTGGGAGGTCCTTACATCCGCAAGTGATGAGTAGTAAAAAACTGAATTGTCAATTATGATGAATAATTATTGGAAACTCTCTAATTAGCTGCAGAAAACTTTAACCGAGGGGTTGATCCCAGCGGAAACAGTTGTTGGTGTGCCACTTAATTAATTATTTGTAAAATGATATAAAAACTTTGCAGAAAGTGTGAATTACTAAAGTTTTAGAAGTGGAAAAAAAATTGAACTTACTTTAACGGAAATAAAATGCACTAACATTAATTATATAGATATCTTATTTGCTTGGTAGAGGACCTCTAAAATGTACATATTTTATAAGATTTGTATTATTTATTAATAATTATTAATATTGATATTAGTAGTAGTATTACGTAACACTTTCTGTTGATCACAGGTTTAATTCGGTATATTCAATAAACATTCGTCGCATGGAACATTTTAACCAACAGAGCAGGTTGATGTTACCACTACAGTTCTTTCAGTGGAAATAAATATATTTTTGAAGAGGCTTTTTTTCTTTAAATAAATTTAAATTAAAAAGCCTACCAAAATGTATTTTAGTTTTTATGAATATTCGCTTTCAAGATGTTACAAAACTCACATGTTCGTTCAGAATGCCTTTCTTTTTAAAGAGGAGTTCTTGGAAATCCCCTTGTGCATTGACTAATTCCCGAGGAATTCTTGTGCATCCTTGGCCATCAATTTGCAGGCACCAGCTGCGGAGGAGCCACATCAGCATCTCTGGCACTTGTTCCGCCATTTGAATCCGGTGCTCATCCCTTCTCAGCTTGGCCAGCCCTTCCACTTGCTGGTGTCCTTGTTCTTGGTTAACTCGGATCCTTTGAGTCGAGAGGAAATGCTATCATTTGGTGGCTGTCATCGTTGTTTTCGTTGTTGCTGCTGTCTGTTTGCCTGACGCCGACGAAAGGTTAAGGCATGCATCGCTTCCATCAAATTAGACGCATTTTCGACGCGCTTTGTCTGTCTGACCCTCTCTCTCTAGCTCGGTTGCTCCGTCTCTTTCTCTCCGACTGCTTCCTTCTCCCTTCCTCGTTTTCCCACCTCGTCGCCACACTTCCCTTCTCGCTTTGGCAATTTTCGAGCTGACGCCGCTTTGCCTTTACGTTTTATCACTTCATTTGCACTGAAATGTCAATGTCTGGCTGCTCCTTCCCAGTCTTTTTTCTATACCTTTTACTTAGACAGTTCCCATTTTCACTTTTTCTATGGTTCTCAATAAAAAGTGTGTCCCTTTTTTAATGTCTTTTTTTCTCCTTTTATTTTTTGCAGAATCGGATATTAAATTGTAAAAAAATATGTTCTTAAAGTATATTTATCAAGTAATTCATTATAATAATAAATTTTAAAATTAAAAAGTATTTCAAGATGCGAAATTGAAAGCCATTCCCTTGAAAATAAATAAAACATGAATTTTTTTAAATGCTTTCTATTTTTTAAATTCGGTGAATCTTGAGTATGATCTTTGCATTAGGTAACTAAAGTCAAAGGACAAGAACTGCTATTATTATCGGCAGTATTTTAAACACCTTTCCGTGACAATAAATTCATTTTTGCGAACATTCCAAAAGATAGAGTAATGCGAACCTCGACCGATAGCCATGTTCTATTTCAAAGAGCATGGCCAAAAGGCAGGAAGGAAGCAGTTTTGTTGCAATGACGTGGGCGGTGTTTTTTCGGTTGGCTGGGTGGGTGGCTGGCAAAGTCAATGGGGGGAGGCGGGATTGGATCGGAGGGGCTGTGTCCTGGTGCTAAAAAAAATCTGTCTGACAAATTACATGCCCTCAGTTGCGGAGTCGCAGCAGCAGCTGCTGAAATGCTTCGTTTGCTTCTCCTCCTCCTGCGTGACTTGCTCCTTTATTTTTGCCTGCTGTTTGCGTTGTCTTCCCATGCTGCTTCTTGCTCCACATTCGGACTCGGGCCATCAAACCGATTGACTGAAGGATTGGGCCAGCGCACGTCATTCACTCAGTCAGTCCGTTAGTCGGCGAGTGCAACGGCCTTTTGATTGGGCTATGTGGCCATGGAAGGTCTCCCGCCTTTTAGTTGGAGGGGTTCGGTTAGGTGGTTTCGGTTTTAGTGGACTTTACTTAGCTGGATGAGCTCATCCGTCGGGTTATCTTCTTTTTCGGCGTGGGGGAACACGATAAAGGAACTTGAGTTTCCCAATTGATCTACTTATGGGTATATTAAAGAGATTCTTTAAGAAATAATTTACAGCTTTTATTTAGCTAAAAAATCTAAATCTTGGTTTTCTTGTAAGTAGTATTATTTGTATGACTTTATTGTTTTTATATCTCTTTGTTATCCACTCTTAGCCTTATTTTGTACATCTCACAAAATCAATTAATCAACTTGTCTCGGTTTAAATTTTTGCATTTATTCTCAGCATACCATTTCTCTGAATAACAATCCCTACCATTCCAATCCTGTTTTCCCTAATTTGTCAAATTTATTTTCATTTCCAGAAAATCCTTTCTGGTTTTCTGTGACTGCCACTGATGGTCAGCCCTTCTCAGTTTCCACATCATCGGGTAAACCAATTCCTCATGGAGGAAGCCGTACCCCGTCGTACCATCGCATCTCAAAAAGACCAACCCCTTTCCCACAACGCAAAACATTCAACAGTTACAAATTGCTATTCGCACAAAATTTCAGTTATCTGATAAATTTCATCGCACACAAATACAAACATTTGGACGTGGAAAATGGAAAACACACTCAAAAAAAAATCTATATATTTTTAAAATATTTTTACAAAATTGTTAATAAAATGTAGATAACTACAAGATTTTTTTTGGAATCGAAGTCGTCAACACTTTATTTTAAATATTTCAAAATTAATTCAGAGCTCATAAAAGATTTATTATTTATTAAATGTTACTCTGTTTTGTGGACAGTAACCGCCCTGATATTTATCTGTGTAGAAACACAAACCCGATCCCGAACCCTTGCCACATTTTGCTTACCGCTTGAATATATGGTGTCATCTAGTCACTCATCCACTCGATTCCGATAAAATGGCACACCACGCACTTTTTGGGGTTCTTAAAATATTTGGCAAACGTTTCTGCAATTTCTCGGATTTCCCGCTAATGTTATTTTGCACTCTCTGTCTGATTTATTTGTAATGTGGCTGCAACGGCTGGGAGTAGAATTATTTGTTTATTTTCCTTGCTTTTTGGCTGCTAATTTGCATTAGATGCAGGCACCCAGAAAACCCCCGGGGCTATCTACTTCCCGCCCCACTTATCCGTCACTTTTCTCCCTTTCCGTTTGTTTTTCGCGCACTTTTATCAAAATTTAGTTTTTGGCGCTGACGAAGTTTTTGTTTACTTTGCTTTCGGTTGGCTCGTAGTTTTGGGTTTAGTTTTTATTCTTATTTATATTACAGATTCAGTGGCTGAACTGCACGTTCCGGCATTGTTTTGCATACTGCGCGCCGCATTAGCCGGCGAATTTTGTTGTGGTGCATGCGAGTTTTCCGATGCGAGTTTTCCGACTGCAGAGCCGCTCGTTCCTATACTTGCGCTCGGTGCTCGGCTTTCAGGTTCGTCGCCCGATTGGCCTGATGCGTGTTGCGGTCTGCTGCCGTTTTCCCTGCTGCAATTTCCCTCGACTAACAGTTGGTCGAGAGAGAGAGAGAGAGAGCGCGAGGGTGGGGAAGCTCTCCCGGCGAAACTTTCTCTCTTATACGAACTCTCACTTTCATTGGCCAACAGTCGTCTGTTAGCCGTTTCAGCTCTGTTACCATAGTTGGCAGAAGCTTGTTGATTTTTCAATGATTAAATATAGGGTTACGAATGCTTATTATTATATGGAATATGTATATATACATATATTAATAATATTGTCACCATTGCTTTTATTTCTTTATTTTTACTTTTTTAAGTTATCAGTGATTTGATTTGTTTAATTGCTCAATGCTCAATGTATACAAATAAATTAAAATATTTGTTTCTTTTTTTTTTTAAATACAAAAAAGACATAGAAAAAATTTGGTGATAGTCTTATAACTTGTAGTGACAACTTGACGTATACGTAATTTATTGCAACATTTGACAATTATGCTCTTATGCAGTTTAAATTCACTTAATTTGTTATTGATAAAGAAAAAATAATTTTATTTAAAGTTGCTTATGGGAGGCTCTTTAATAAACCGATTATCATTTAGTAAAAAAAACATTCACTGTATCTATTTTAAGTCAACCGTCTTGATGTAACTTCGTAAAGCATTTCTGAAAAAAGGGGAAAAAGAAATTTTAATTCTTTTAACGTAATTCATACATTTTATTGTTAAAACGGTATTGCAAATTTATTCATATTAACTTCGATTCGATAGGGCTTGGATGGCATGCATTTCGCAGGTAAATTAGTGCTAACAATTGGAATCTGTAAATACATGAAGAAAGTGTATTAAAATTTAAAAAGTCTTTTCAAATAAATGAATGCATTCTGTTTAATTACAAACATAAATATTATTTATAAATATCAATAGCCAACTTTTTTATTTTCTTAAAACTATATTAAATATTTTAGAAGTCCTGAATTCATTCAAGATATACTTCGTTGGATAAATAAAATTGTTCTGAAATTGAATTCAAATTTAGGAAAAAAATTGCATTTCAGATACTCATGTTCAAAATTCTCTGAAATTTAGTTCAAATTTAGAACAGTAATTGCATTTCAGGTACTAATCTTTTAAAAACTAAATTTTCTCTTCAGTTTATGGGTAAATAAATCATTGCTCACCATTTCCACCATTTGTCTTCGTTCCCATCTCTGAACTTAAACTTAAGATGCCTGTGGCGTTAAAATCTAATTGCTCTGCACGTGGATAACTATCCACCTGGCCCAAACCAGGAATAAGCTCTCTACCTCTGCTAGTCATTAGGAGAATATCAAATTTTCAGTTTTTGTTCGCACTCAACTTGCAAAGAAATTGCTGAAATAATTTCCATGTGGAGCCAGTTAAAGTTTTCTTTTAGTAAAAACTTCGACTTGGCTAGAGGAAAGTGAGAAAAAACCAGTGGCAAACATATTGAGGAAAGACCAAAGCGATGGGGTTGGCTGAAAGAAAATCTGGGGAAAGAGTGACACAGAAAATATGGCAACTGTCGACGTTCTTTGGAGTCGAGCTTTAGTTTGGCCTTTTGAGGAAAACTTTTAATCCTTCTGGTGGAACTTCCGACAGTTTGCTTTAAGCCTTTTCCGTTGACACTGAAAAGTGCCTTAAATTCGACCGAAATTGCGAGATGTTTATTGTTTACCATTCCTCAAATCCGAAAAGTTTGAGCCAAAGCGTAGTCCCGTCTGTGTAGTGCGGAAAACTTTAAATTAAATGATCAACCATAGAAAAGTTTATATGTTGTAAATACCGCTTAAGAGGGCTATACACCCAGAATTAAAAAAAAACAGTTGTTTGACTTATTTCACTAACATAAGCACTTATTTAGTATAAATATTTTTTAATAAAAATTAATAAATAATATTAGTTTTAAAACTATCTACTCAAAGATATGAACTAAAAATATTTTTTTAAGTCAAGGTTGAACACCCTAAACATTGTGTTATTTTCGCAGCTGGCCTAAAAAATGTGTAACTTAATGCACATAATTAAATTTCAACAAAGCATTTTTACTTGTCCGTAGTAATTACTGCTGCTAAAAATCAGCTCATTAAAGTTTGCTTTGAAATCTCGTCCACAAGAATATTAAATCATTTTCGACTTTAAAGCAATTTTCGGTTGATTGAATTAAGTTAACCAAAACACAGACGACGTGGCTGGGAAAGTTTTGGGTGGTTTCTGCCGGGCGTCTGGGAATGCAGACGCATAGGGACGACATTCTCGGTGAGGGTCAGTTTATCATTTTAAAACCCATTCCCTGGACCTTGTCGTGGTTGGTGGTGTTGTGCGAAACTTTTCGGTGGCAGGCAAAACTTTTCTTATAAATTCTGTTAATTTTTTCCCTTTATACTTTCCCGCACGGTTGAATTTCCATATAAATACCAGCAATTTTCCGAAATTGATTTTCAACAAGCTTGGCTAAATATTCAAGTGAGTTGGCAAAGTCGCGAGCCCCAATGAATTTTTAATGAACTCAGTTTGCCTATGTATGCAAATATTTAGAGCTCCCTATTCAGCTATTAGTTTGCTGTAATTTCAGAGTTTCATTACCCAGTTCGGTTCCAATTTACCATGAATAGTAAATTTGGTGTAATATACACGCTCAGCATTATCGCAAAAAATTATGCAAATTTAATGGTTTTCCAATCATTAAAACGATGTGGTAGAGATATGGAGCTGGGATAAAACTTAATTAATTAGCGTACCATCGATTAGGGATGGTCATTAAATGAAAATATCCATGATTTTAAGTAATTTAGCTTTAGTTTAATTTAGTATTTATTCAAGTGCATGAGAAGTGGAATAAATAAGATGAATATACCTATTTTATTAAAAGAATATTCGTGTTAAACATGATAATAATTCTTTTTCAACGCTGTCACACTTATCCTCCTCTGCGAAAAATATAATTTGCAGTTATAGTCTAAGTGTTATGATTCTGAAAAAAAAGTACCCCCTATCTCTCTCCCCATTTGACACTTGAAATTATTTTCACATTAAATTTGTCCCATTCTTGCCAGTGCGAATTATGTCGTATGCAAATGATCAGAGCGTAAAATAAATGCCGCATATTAAAAATAATAATTACGCACGGAACATTAATTAATAGTTTGGACAGAAATCGCGCGTTTTTATGGGCGGTGCCATGAAATATGTATTTCGCGTATTTAGTGCGTGTTTAGCGGGTATTTCTAGACTTTTATAACACCAATTAATATTTGAGTCATTAATTTGGCGAGCTTCTCTTTTTTCTCGCTCGCTGGGTAATTTTATTTCCACCTGAATAAAATTTAATTAGCCATTAATAATTGAGAACTTTGCTGAATTTAATTACCAGAAATATAGGCAAATCGCACAGGTCTATTGCACTATAGTGTTTCGATTTCATAGCCTGCGACCGTTTTAGCCTGTCAATCAAATGTGGGAATGTTGTCTCATCGTCGCATCGTTGGCAGCCAGATGAGGATGGATTGTGGCTGGGCCAGGCGGATAGATGGATGGATGGCTGTGGTCGGGGAGGTGTGTGCGAATGTGTTCTATATGGCCGATGCTATATGCCTCCGTCGCTGCTGTCAGAATGTGATTGACATGCACAAGTGAATCCCCCTCCACGCACTCTGTGACCGAAATACGAGTCCGCACTCGCATTTGAGTGCGAGTATCTGGCGAAAAGTAAAACCGAGGCGAGCCAAATCTGAGGCTAAAGCACCGTGCCACCCATGACACCCACTCATTTGCATTTCGGCAGCCTCCTGCAGTCGCAGAAAAACATCCATTGATTGAAAAATGGCGGAATATTAATCTGGCGACGCTGAAAATATTGATAACGCTTAAAAAAATATAGGTTCTGTACGAGTCTGCAGTTTTTTATTGCAGTTAAAGTTGAAGAATAAAGATCAACCCAAAAAGAGTAATTTAAAGTTTTACCTTATATTTACAATGACTTTATTTTCACTTCAAACTAAAGGTGGAGAATATCGCTGTTTGGGAATTATGTAAATATACTAATATTCTTTTTTGACTGAAATTTATTTATTTATATTTAAAATCATATCTATTAGATTTTATATTTTATAGACAACGTGAATTATTTTAAATTAATTTTTCTTTTATTTATTTAATTCATTAAATTAATTTAGTTTTATTTTAAATTAATTTATTATTATTTATTTAACTCGTTAAGTAAATTTAATATAATTTTCTTTGTTTAGTTTTTTTAATAAATACCCACTTTTAATGCTTTATTATTTTTTGCAATGTATGGCATGCATTTCACTTTTTTTGCAAGGGTTCAACGTCCTTCAGCGCACTTTCCTTACATTATATGTGCCAAGTGCCTGCAGAATATTGGCATGTTTGCTGGCCCACTCCACTTGACTTTTCTGCACGACCCACCCACTCCGTAGGAATGTCATTTCATACAAAAGTTTTCAATTTTTCCCCGGCTTGTTTGCCCTTGTGTCTGGGAATTGTCGGGCTGTGCTGGACGGACAGATTGGTCAGCCGAATAGCACCGCATAAATCTAGACCGGCTTCAGTTTCAGTTACACTTTTTCGCCCATGAGTCATGCCACATAAATCACCCAATCCGAACTCTGCTGCAGAAACTCAACTCGCCCGTCAATATTTATTTTATTTCACATTTTTCGCCAGAGATGTCACAAAAGTGAAATGCGAAAGTGGACGGGGGAGATTTTTGGAATGCACAGGGGAAAGTGCGAATTTGTCTTTGTTTTAAATGGTGTCCCAGTTGAAAGAGTGATGGGCTATATTTGCTATCAGCTTGTTGATCTTGTTTATGGTGTCCATTCTTTAACTTTGAATATTCGGTTTTTGCAATATATAAACTGCTTTAAAATATTCGTACATGAAAACGTAACTAAGCCTTACTTATTTTGGTGAGCTTTCCTAAATACTTTGATA